TGCAATACAAGTCTCCGGCGCAATGCCTTTACAATCCACTTGCCCCAGATCTATTGCACCACCCCCCTGCAGCTGGGCGACCTGTTGGTTCACCCAAAATCCAGCAGTGGCGAAGCGTCCTGGCTCGCCTACAGCCCTACCAAACAATGTTAATCAGAGCCCCGAATCATCAGGGGTAACTCGGGTCAGGGCTAACTCGGGTTCGTTTTTCGGGATTCCGAACCCGAGTTATCCCGGACCCGAGTTACCCCGGATAACTCGGGCGTCCAGGGCCCCGAATCATCAGGGGTAACTCGGGTCAGGGCTAACTCGGGTTCGTTTTTCGGGAACCCAAACCCGAGTTACCCCGGACCCGAGTTACCCCGGATAACTCGGGCGTCCAAGTTAAAGAACCTTTTGTGGTTTCCACGAGCTGTTCTTAGAACATGTCTGGTTGATACTGTCTTGTTTTAACACATCGGGCTTACACCTTAGGCGATGCTCAAGAAAACTAAAGTTTTTGGCCCAAGTCTCGATTATTCTTAATGTTTCAATTTAGCTCCTAAGATTTTGATAGAAATTCTGTGTTTGAATTAAATTCTGAGACTATGAATTTCTTAACCCATGATTTCTTCAGCATTTCGCAGGGTGTATGTTCTAAGGACACTGCGTTTGCTCTCAGCAGCCGGCCCCCTGCTGGTCCACCCGAGGTGTACCTCCCGGCCCTGTCGGGGAGGACCGTGCATAGTTAAGACGCGGAAAATCCAAGGGCAGGTCGGGCCTCGGCGGGGCTCGCGGCCCCTCTTCGGGTCCTCCTCCTCCTCCTCCTCCTCCCCCTCCTCCTCCCCCTCCTCCTCCTCCTCCTCCTCCTCCTCCTCCTCCTCCTCCTCCTCCGCCTCTCTCCTCCTCTTCTGGGGGTGGATTGTTCGACCTCTGCCCCTGGTTGCCGCGGCGGGCCGCGGCGCCCCCCCCCCCCGAGCAGCCCTCGGGTCCTCGCAGTCTGTGCACCCAAGTGCTCTTGGGGCTGGTGTGGAGTCGGGCCTGTCCCTCTACAGGAGGAGGATTCAAACATAGTGCAAGAAAGCCTTTTCGGGGACGATTTTTCTCGGCTGTGTTTCGACTTTGTGTGACCATTGTTGGACTATTTGTATTATCTCCAACACCCGCCTGTAGGAGGACATGCCCGACTTGAGGCTGGTTCCGTATGTACCGTTCTGTATTCTTTTATGGTCGTAGGGTGGTTGTGCTTGAGAGAGGTTCACGACGACGCGCCGACTCCCAGAGGAGGCTACGCGTGGCTTCCGCTTCCCCGTCTCGTTTCAACCGCTTCCCGTCGTGCTGCCCTCGCGCAGTTGTTGCTGTTTTTGTCTTCCTCTCCCCTGGCGTCTGTTGCGAGGATTCCCGGGGGCACTCCAGAGGCCTCGGGGCGCCCTCCTCGGGAGCCTCTCTGGAGCTCCTGTTGGCTTTCGGGGAGGCCTTCTGGGTGCTGCTGGGGGACCTCCTGCGGGCATGCTGCGGGCTTTCGGGGGCCATCTTGTGAGGGATGACTTCTCGGACCCATATGGAATCTCACTCTTGGGCCCCCTGTTTCTTCTCCGCCTTGGAGGCCTTTTAAGTTTGGAAGGAGCGTTGTATACCGCTGCTGGTGGAAAACCAGGGAGGGTCACTGGGGGTTCCCATCCCCCCCCCCCCCTCTTCGCAAACAAGGGGGGGGGGTCACTACCGGTTCGAACCCCCCCCCTCGGATCCCCCCCCGTCCATCATGAAATTGGGGGGGTCATTACCAGTTCGAACCCCACCCCTCCCTCGCCGCCGGCAAACGATTCCCGCTCCTCGGGACAGTGAGACTGAGGTGGGGTCACTGGGACAGTGGCGAGGGCGGTAGTGGTGGGGACAGTGGTGTGGGGACAGTTGGACAGTGGTGGGAACACTGGGACAGTGGTGGGGGGCGGTGGTGGTGGGGACAGCGGGACAGTGGTGGGGACAGGGGGACAGTGGGACAGTGGTGGGGACAGTGGTGACGGGGACAGAGGTGAGGGCGGTGGTGAGGACGGTAGTGGCACAGTGGTACAGTAGGGAGAGTGGTGGGGACAGTGGGGACAGTGGGACAGTGATGGGGACAGTGGGGACAGTGGGATAGCACAGTGGGACAGCGGCGGGGACAGTGGAGACAGTGGGACAGTGGTGGGGAAAGAGGGGACTGTGGGACAGCGGTGGCGACAATAGGGATAGTGGGGCCGTGGTGGGACAATGGTGGGGACAGTGGGGACAGTGAGGCACTGGTGTGGGCACTGGTGGGGACAGCGGGGACAATGGTGGGAACAGTGGGGACACTGGGACAGTGGTGGGGATAGCGGAACAGTGGTGGGGACGGTGGTGGTGGGGACAGTGGTGTGGGGACAGTGGGACAGTGGTGGGGACAGTTGGGACAGTGGGCGTGGTGGGGACTGCGGTGGTGGGGACAGTGGTGAGGGCGGTGGACTGGTGGGGACAGCGGGGACAAAGCTGAGAACAGTGGGGACACTGGGACTGTGGTGGTGACAGTGGGACAGTGGTGGGGACGGTGGTGGTGGGGACAGTGGTGTGGAGACAGTGGGACAGTGGTGGGGATAGTGGGGACAGTGGTGGGGACGGCGACGGTGGGGACAGTGGTGAGGGCGGATGTGAGGACGGTGGTGGGACAATGGGACGGGTACAGTGGAGACAGTGGTGGGGACAGTTGGGACAGTGGTGGGAACAGTGGGACAGCTCAGTGGGACAACGGCGGGGACAGTAGGACAGTGGGACAGTGGGGACAGTAGGACAGTGGTGGGGACCGTGGGGGAAGTGGGGAGAGTGGGACCGTGGTGGGAGCAGTGGTGGGGACAGTGGGAACAGTGCGACAGTGGTGGGGGCACTGGTGGGGACATTGGGACGGTGGTGGGAAAAGTGGGGACAGTGGTGGTGGGGACGGTGGTGCTGGGGACAGCGGTGGGGGATGTGGTGGACGACGATGGGACCCGGGAGTCGTTTGCCGGCGGTGAGGGTGGGGGTTCGAACCGGTAGTGACCCCCCCCGGGGGGGGGGTTCGAACAGGTAGTGACCCCCCCGGTTTTCTGGAGGGGGGGGCGGGTTCGAACCGGGAGTGACCCCCCTCGGTTTTTTGGAAGGGGGGGGATCGAACCAGCCATGACCCCCCCCCACCCCGGTTTTCTGGAAGGGGGGGCGGGGGGTTCGAACGGGCAGTGACCCCCTCCGATTTTCTGGGGGGGGGGGGAGAGGGGGGGGGTTGCCGGGGGAATGAGGTGGGGGAAGGGAGGGGGGTCCAGCAGGGGGAGGGAGGATTTTCGAGGGGGGGGGTGGGGGGGGGGGGGGGAACCCCGGGTTCCGGAGGAAGAGGGGGGGGAATTTTCCACAGTAAAGCGGCGGTGGATCACGCTTTTTATAAGTTTGGGACCCTCTTGGGCGGCCTTCGAGTCCTCAATGGGGCCTTTTGTGTGCCTCCCAGGATGTCCTGGGCTTGTCACGGGGGGTCCTCTAGGGCCGGTTTGGATTTTCAGAGTCCCAGAACCCCAGAGCGGCGAGAAAGCACAAATGATTCAAGCACGTGTGGCAAAATCAATGACGTTTGTCTCCTGGGGCCACCTTGGGTGTCCTTTGGGGGCCATCTTGGGGCGTCCTTAGGGCCTTCGTTGCCGTCTTGAGGTCGTACTGGATGTTCTTGAGGCCTCTCTGGCGTATTGGAGCCATTGGCCCACCTCAGAGAGGCATCCTGGAAGTCTTCAAGTCGGGCCTGTCCCTCTACAGGGGGGATGTTCAAAATTAGTCCGAAAACAGTTTGGGGAGGTGCTTTTTGCATATTATATATATATATATGTATAGATATAGATGTGTGTGTATGTGCGTGCGTGCGTGTGTATTTTTGAAAATTCTGTCACCCCAAATCCCCCCGTAGGGGGACACGCTCGACCTCATGGAAGTCTCGGAGGCCGCGTGCCTCCAAGAGATGCGCTGGCGAGCTCGCACCACCCCCCCTTCCCACGCTCCCCATAGTTAAGTCGGGCGCGTCCCTCTACAGGGAGACTGTTCAAACATATTAAAACAATAATCTGGGGATTTGTTGTTGACATTTTTTGAATATTGTTTGAGTGCTTTCGTTTTTCATCCCAAATCCGCCTGTAGGGGGACATGCACGATGTAACCATATGGCTTTGGAGCCCGGTGAAAAACGGGCCCTGATCCCCCCGCGTCGTGAACCAAATCATGATGGAGCGTTTCGCTTGTTTTCGGCCTCATTGGGAGGCCTCGCCAGGCCACGGGATCGTCGAACGACAGCTCAGGCTGGAAGCCAGTTCCTGGGAAGGGGGCCGGACATTTTTGGGGGGTCCGGGCATGTGGAGAAAATCACAGCGGCGGGGGTCGGGGGGGAGGGGGTAAGCCAATCATATCATTGGCGCTTGCACCCCTGGCGAGCGGGGGGTCGGCTCAGGTCGGGCATGTCCCTCCACAGGAGGACTATTCCCAAATAGTCTAGCAATCGTGTGGGGACGATGTTTGATTATTGTTGGGCTATGTTTGAGTTGTTTTTGAATCTTTTTTTATTTTCATCCAAAATCCCCCTGTAGGAGGACATGCCTGACCCAACTGTCGGCGGATGCACCGTTCTGCGGCTCGGGGTGGCCCCGGCCAGTGGTCGTGGGGTGTGCAGCGGCCTGCTGTGGAGCGGCAGCGGACGCATGCCGTCTCTGTGCAGTTCTGGCGCGTAGTGATCGCCTCATTTTGCTGTGAACGTGTGGCCTTAAGTCGGGCCTGCCCCTCCACAGGAGGAATATATTCAAAAATAGTAAAAATAGTTTTGGGGCGATTTTTTTTAGTTTGAAGCGTTTGTTTCCTATTTCTAATTTTCGTCCAAAATCCGCCTGTAGGAGGACATGCCCGACTTAAGTGTAGCCGCTGGACATGTGCCACCGTTGGGAAAGCAACGGGGGGCGCGTGAAAGAACGCACTCACGACTGCCTTGTTCTTGCCTGCCTCCTCCCGAGGATGTGGACAAGCTCACGCTGAAGGCGTATGTCAACGAGGCCATGCACACGATCCGCGAGATCACGAAAATCAACCCTCAGGCTCCCAACCCCCTCCCACATGTCCTCCTCCTCCTCCTCCTCCTCCTCCTCCTCCTCCTCCTCCTCCTGCGCCTCCTCCCCCTCCCTTTAGTTCCGAGAGCATGCCACGATCATCAACCAGGGGCTGGAGCGCATAGAGTCGACCGACCCGACAGCGGTTGCTTATTTTGGCGCCTCGTTGAGCAACGCGCTGGGCTCCGAGCAGGTGGAGGTCCTCGAGGCGGAAACGGCGAAGGAGAAGCTGCAGCTCGCCCTTGTGCTCCTGAAGAAGGAGCTGGAGATGTCCCAGCTGCAGCACAAGATCAGCAAGAAGATCGACGAGGAGATGGGCGGCACCCAGCGGAAGTTCATGTTGAGGGAGCAGCTCAAGCAGTTGAAGAAAGAGTTAGGCGAGGACAAAAGCGACGGCACCGACAAGCTGGTGGCGAAATTCAAGAGCAACCTGGAGGGCAAGGAGCTGCCCAAGGAGGCGAAGGAGGCCATCGACACGGAGATGGAGAAGTTCTCAAACCTCGCGAAGGAGTCACAGGAGTATCAGATGACCCGGAACTACCTCGACTGGCTGACGATGCTACCATGGGAGTCGTACCGCAAGGATCGAAATATCGGCGACGAGTGAGCGGGGTAAATGAGAATGAGAAGGCTGATTTCTCAGAAGCCCTCGCGCCCTCTGAGAAGTTTCTCTCTCTCTTCAGGGAGCGCTCAGGAGACTTCTCAAAGGGCTGGGGAACTTCCGAGCCTCCTGAGAAGGCCTTCTGCTTCTCACTTCCCCCCCTCTAAGGGGCCACAGGCGAACCCTACCCCTACCCCCCACGATTTCTCAGGGGGAGGGTGGGGTTCACTTCGTTCGGGAGCAAGTAGGCAAAGCCGTGAGCACTGCCGGAGAGGCGCGGATTCGCTTCGAAATCTTGGTCAGAACGCACCCCGGGAGAGGTCCGAGGAGTAGCGGTATCGGTATTTTCTGGTTGCCCCACGGACCGTGGTATAAGATCGAGGTCAGTTCGAATTGGTGTCCTTCGTGCTTGTGGGATGCTCTCGTGCACCCGGGGGAGGGTGCCCTTGGAGATGTTCTGTGCATCTTCGGCATTGGAGGGTCCCGTGTTCTTGAAGGATTGTTTCTGTCCTAGATTCGATTGTACGCCATGCTTTCTTCTTCCAAAGGAGGTGCTCAGCCTGCAGAAGGCCCGCCAGGTGCTGGACAGGGACCACCACGGCCTCAAGGAGGTGAAGGACCGCATCCTCGAGCTCATCGCGGTCGGCGCCCTGCGGGGCTCTGTGCAGGGGAAGATTGTCTGCTTTGTGGGCCCGCCGGGTGTGGGCAAGACGTCCATCGGCCGCTCCATCGCGGAGGCGCTCGGCCGCGAGTTCTACCGCTTCAGCGTAGGTGGCCTCTACGACGTCGCAGAGATCAAGGGCCACAGGCGCACGTACGTGGGTGCCATGCCGGGGAAGATCATCCAGTGCCTGAAGAAGGTTCAGACGGCCAACCCGCTGGTGCTGATCGATGAGATCGACAAGCTGGGCCGCGGACACCAGGGCGACCCCGCATCCGCGCTGCTGGAGCTGCTGGACCCCTCGCAGAACGGCTCCTTCCTCGACCATTACCTTGACGTTCCGGTGGACTGCAGCAAGATCCTCTTCGTCTGCACGGCCAACGTCACGGACACTATACCAGGCCCGCTCTTGGACCGCATGGAGGTGATCAGGCTGTCCGGGTACGACCTCCAGGAGAGGGTCGCGAGATGTCCTTGTCCTCCTCAAGCTTGCCTTGCTGCCGCTTCTCCTCCTCAACTTGCCCTGTCTCTTCATATATAGGTCCTCTTCGTCTCCTCCATGCCTCTCTTCATCCCGCCTCCCTCCTCGCCATTCTCGTCCCTCCACTCCCCTTCTCCCTCACCGCTCCTCCACTCTCCTCCTCGTCCCCACACCTCCACATGTTCAATCCTCGTCTTGATAGACCATCGTTGTCCTCCTTCTCGTTCTCAGCCCTCCCTCGCCTTCCTGCTCATCCTTCCTTCCTCCTCCTCCCCCATCCTCCCCATTATCCTCATACCTCTGGGTGCCTCTCGAGACTCTCAACAAGAGACCTAGAGTCAAGCAAACTCTATCCTCAAACCTCGCTCCCCTTCCTTACCGTGGCCCATCCGCTCCTCTCTCCACCCAATCTGACGTTACGTTGCGCTAACTCTAGCCAATGTGCTGTAGCGTTCGGTTGAACAAGTATCCAGTGCGAGGCCGACATAGGCATAAGGATGGACAAGCTCTGCAGACTGCGCGTGCATTACAGGACGTGCAAGCAGAGACAGACATACTAGTCCTACAGGGTAGAAAGTAACGCCGCCGTCTGCCATTGAGGAGGGGAGGTACAAGAACACACGGAACAAATCACCTGAACGCAACCAAGTAGGAGGATATATACTAGCAACGAGAGGGGTCAGCATATATGTGGACAGTCGCTCAGGGTCGTGGCGGATCTCAGTGGGCGTCGCCACACAGGAAAACGACGCAGCTCTGAGCCTCCCCTCCCCCCGGATAAGATCCTCATCAAGGCGAGTCGATCGCCTTGAGAGGCCCTGATGGTGCCTGCTCCCCTGGTCCGGCTTCCTTGCCCTGCGGCCGTCTCCCTCGCCCCCCCCCTCCTCGAGCATCACAGCCCCAGATATCCGACGTATTCTTCCACAGCGCCCCCCTGAGCCTGGGTTCCCGACCCCCTCCGGGGGGGGACGAGTCTTCCATCCTGCGTAGACTCGTGCTTCGGGGGCCCCCCAACGGGGTGGTGACCACACCGTGCGGTGAGTCGGTGGGGATTCGGGGTCACCGCACGGTTTTGGGACTCGGGTCGTTCTTCGAGGGCGTCTCGGGCGACAGGGGCCTCCAGGGTCCCAAGACCGTGCGGTGACGGACCGTGCGGTGACAGGACTCCAAAAGCGTTGCGCCCCGGGGGACCGTTCAAGGGCCCCCACAGTTGCCGGAATTTGCCAAACATCTTCGTCGCGAGTTCTTCCCTCGACGCGAGGATGTGCGTGTCCTTGCCCCCCTCGTGGGCGGAGGTCATGTCCGTGTCCGCGGCCTCGCGGGCCGGGCCCCGGGGCCTCGACCCCCCAGACGCGGGGCGTTTTGTTTCAAGCAGTGGCGAAGCGTCTTGGCTCGCATATAGGCCTACCGAAGAATGGTCTAATGACCTTTTGTGTGGCTTGCACGAAGTGTTCTTAGAACATGTATGGTTGAGGCTGTCTTGTTTTAACACGTCGAATTAATGTTCTGAGAACATTTTTGTTGTCTTTGGAGTAGTCGTGGATTCTAAGAACATTTCGTGGTAGGACTATAGGAATGCTGTGACGGTCGGTCCCTGCGAAATTGTTAGCGATACCCCTTGCGGAACACATCCGTGCGGTCGAACTTGTATCCGCGGGATCGCGCCCCGGAATCCAGACCGCGAGGGCGTGGATACGGATATGTTCGCCGCCATTAATTGGAGGCCATCTTGGTCGTTCTGGCCAACTCGGAGGCCATCTTGGCCGCCTCTCAGCCCATGTTGGGCTGCCCTGGAGGCCATCTTGGACAGATGCTGGGACCCTCTTCGGGCTCTTTGGGGCCGTCGTGCTGAGATCTTGGGGGCCTCGTGGGGGCGGCCTGGGCGTGCGAAGACTACCAGGAGAAGCTCAAGATCGCGGAGGACTACCTGGTGCCCAGCGCCATGCGGGAGGCCGGCCTCTGGCCGGCGGCCGCCGCCGAGGAGGCGGGCGGGCCGCCGATCTCTTCGTTGCGGGGAGGAGGAGGAGGAGGAGGAGGAGGAGGAGGAGGAGGAGGTGGAGGAGGAGGAGGAGGAGGAGAGGGAGGGGGGAGGAGGAGGAGGAGGAGGCGCGGTGGAGGCGCGGTGGAGGAGGAGGAGGAGGAGGAGGAGGAGGATCATCGATACGTAGCCTAATTTAGGTCCCCGTCTTCGCATTAGGGAGAATAGAACTGGGCGGTGTGTGGTTTGAAGCATCTGCTGACAAGACCCCCTATCGATCCCGCCCATCCCTCATGTTTTGGGCCTCTTAGCTCCGGTCCGCTCTCAACATGTTCTGTTTCTCCTGCTTGCGAATCAGAGGAGGAGGAGGAGGAGGAGGAGGAGGAGGAGGAGGAGGAGGAGGAGGCAGCCTCGAGCCCGGACCTCCGGCGCTGTGTTGATTTCAGTTCGGGATCCTGGCGTTTTTCTTCGGCGGCGGGATCAGAACTTTGCCCTCGCCGGGCAACGATTCAGGGAGCTCGAGGAGCTGCGGGGGGGGGGGGAATTCATCCAGCACGTGGCGAAGTCTGAACCTCTCCGGCTTCCTAGGAGAATCGACGGTTGGTGGGGATAGGGTTCGGACGTCGCCGCGCAGCTCCTTGATCTCGGCCTCCCTCTGTCGGGCGCCACCCCCCGGGGGGTAAGAGACCTGCACCGCGCATTGACAACGAATCACATCGTCGGCCCCCACACTGCGGGAAGAGACCAGCTGGAGGCATCAGCTGCAGGAGGTCCGCCTGGAAATCTAGAGTCAGCGCTGCCCCCCACCTCCTCGCCCTCGGTCCCTCCTCCATCCTCCCCCATTGACTTCTCCTCCTCCTTCTGCTCCTCCTCCTCGTCCTCATTCTCCTCCTCGTCCTCCTTCTCCTCCTCCTCCTCCTCCTTCTCCTCCTCCTCCTCTTTCTTCTCTTTCCATGCTTCCCGCCCCCTTTCTCCTCCACCCTCCACCCTCCCTTCTCCCCCTCCTCTAACACAAACGGCATAAGCAGAAAGGTTCGGAGGTCTGCGCAGGTTCCTTGGATTATTGGTCGGCACTGATTCCCTTTCACGCGCCTCCAGCGCCTCCCCTGGTGCGCTTTGTCCGCCAACGGACGGGGATGCACATGTGAACCTAGCCGCGCGCGCGCGTGTGTGTGTGTGTGTGTGTGTGTGTGTGTGTGTGCGTGTGTGTGTGTGTGCGTGTGTGTGTGTGTGTGTTTGTGTGCGTGTGTGTGTGTGTGTGTGTGCGTGTGTGTCTGTGTGTATGTGTGTGTTTGTTTGTGTGTGTGCGTGTGTGTGCGCGCGTGTGTGTGTGTGTGTGCGTGTGTGTGTGTGTGTGTGTGTGTTCCAGCCTCCTGGTGAACTTTCGAAGGTCCGCTCGTACTGCTTGGGTCGGCACTGGATTCCCTTCGCGGCGCCTCTGTTGCGCACCGCGCGCCAGGGAGGGGGGGAAGTTCCAGCGCCAACCCCAGAAGTCCACGCGGACCTTGTCGATACTGTTGTTTCAAGAGGAGGAGGGGGAGGAGGAGGAGGAGGTGGATGAGAAGAAGGAGGAAAAGGAGGAGGAGGAGGATCATACGACCAACGCCTGGGGTCCCCTGTGGTGACGGGGGCGGAGACCCACTAGCATGCCGCATGGCTTTTTTTAAGTGAGGAGAAAGAGAGAGGAAGAGGAGGAGAAGGAACAGGTTGTTGTTGTGGAGCGACCTCAAGTCAGCGGAGAAGCAGCAGGAGGAGGAGGAGGAGGAAGAGGAGGAGGAGGAAGAGGAGGAGGAGGAGGAGAGATGATACAGGAAAGAGGGAAAGATGAGAGAGGGGAGATAAGAGAGGAGAGAAGAGAGAGGGGAGATGAGAAGAGAGAGAGAGAGAGAGCGACAGAGGAAAGAGGAAAGAGAAGGGAGGAGAGTGGAGAGAGGAGAGAGGAGAGAAGAGAGAAGCAAGCTAGGTCCACTCGCGCCACATGCGACATCCGATCCCTCCCTGCCTCCCATCCCTTCCCATCGCGTTTACCTTTTCTCTATCTGCGGACTCGTGTCATAGCCGACCTGGAACCTCAGTACCCCAGAAGCGCACCCGCATACCGGCAAAGGTGGTCTGTGGGCAGGTGGGAACTGTGCGACTCGTGCGAGCTGTGGGGCCACTTGGGCTCAGGCTCGAGCCATCTCGGCTCGGGGTGACTTCAGCAACTTGGGCGGCGCAGGCCCCGCTGCCCTCGGCCACGTGGGGCGCGGCGTATATGGGGCAGCAGCGCCGCCGGGGCGGACCATATTCGGCGGGCCTTGCGGGGCGGGCGCCGGCGCCGGCGCCGGCGCCCCGGGGGGCCCCTCCCGGCAGGGTGCACCTGCAGGATGGCTCTCCCCAGCGCCGGGCTGCTGGGAGCTGCCCGGACCCAGCGGCAGAGGCCAGGAACCATTGGCGCCTATGGGCCCGGCGGGTGGGCCGCCGACGGCGGCGCCGCAGCAGCAGGCACGTCGGCGCCCGCCTCCATCGAAACGCCCCGCCCCGCCACTGGGCGGGGTGGACTGGTATTCGGTGGAGCTGGAGGGGCCGCGCTCTCTGGGTCCAAGGGCAGTTGCGCGACTTGCCCCAGCAGCCCCCCGCGTGGGAAGGGGCCCTGTTGGCCGACGGCTGCGCCAGGCCAGCAAGCGAAGCGGGGCGCGCCAGCCACCGAAGGCCCGGCCCAGATGCAAGCCGGCCCAGCCACAGTCGGCCAACACATGCCGCAGCGGGCGCTGGCGCAGGGGGGGACGTTGCCGATGGCGGCGGGGGGAGCCTGGGCCCCGAAGGCACCACCCTTGAGGAGGGCGCAGCTGAAATCGGCGCGAGCGACTTGCGCGGCTGGGGGCTGAAGGCGACCCCACCGCAGAGCGACGGAGCGCGCGCGCAGCCTCAGCCCGCCGGCTCCGCGGCAGCGGGCTTTTCGGCAATCTTGGCAAATTGGCCTTCGCTTGCGCCCGCACCGAGTGCGCAAGAGCAGGGGCGGGAACCGCTTCGGCAGCGAGCAGCCAGCGCGCCGCCCCAAGCGCCGCCGAGCGTGGAACCAGACGCGCAGCCCCCGCGCCCAGGCATGCGCGCGGCGGCGCTCTGCGCGGCCAGTGGCCACGGCCGTGGGTGGGTGCGTCACCGCGGGAGCGAAGTGCCGACGCAGCGCGGAGCCCACGCGGCGGCAGCCGCGAGAGCGGCCGCTGCCCCCCCCCAGCAGCGACAGCCCGAGTGGCTCCGAGACCCCGCGGGCAGATGGCCCTGTGCGCTCCCGGCCGTGGGCGCGCTCCTCGCGGGGTCCCGGCGGCGGCGGGGCCAGCGCCAGCGGCGCCCGCCCACGGGGGTCAGCGGCAGCAGCGAAGCGACTCGGAGCCGGATTTGGCCACGGCCCGCCAGCAGCGACACCAGCAGCGACACCAGCAGCGACGGCGCTGTCGCGGGCGCCGTGCTCGGAGCGACCCCAGGCCCGCCGCCGCAAGGCACTTGGGGCTTCGAGAGCGCGGAGGTGGCGACGGGCGTCCTTGTTGCCGCGCAGGACGCCAGCCTCGTGTGCCAGACGAGCCCACCGAAGGGCTGATGCGGCTTACCGCGACGGAACCGCAGACGCCGGCTCCCGCGGGGGAACGACGGAGTCTGGCGGCGCCGGCGGCGCGGGCTATGGACGCCCACCCTTGCCTCCGCGGCGGGGCCGCAGCGGCAGTCGCCCACCCTGGAGCGGCGACTCCTCGAGGAGTCGCCGAGCAGGCAGCGGGCGGCGCGGGCGCCCCGGTCGCCCAGCACCCCGCCGCTAGACACCATCGAGCAGGACATCGAGGCCGTGTGCGACCTCGACTGGACGAGCGATCTGCCGGGCGCCGAGTCGCCCTTGCCGCGGCGCAACCGCCAGCCCGACTCGGCCCCGCAGGAGGGAGCCGCGGCGGCTGCCGCAGCGCGACCGCTGGGCCGACGCGGACGGCGGCGACCACGAGAATTGGCAGCCGGCCCCGCCTGACGGCTGCGAGCCAGCCGCTGGCGCCGAGGGGCGGGCGGCGGGCGGTTGCTGGCGAGCTTAAGCATGCCCTCAGCAGGCGCCGGACTGGCCCGAATGGCCCGGTGCGGCGCCAGGCAATCACCTGCCGCGCGGCGCCGCGGAGGGAGCTCGCCGCAGCGTGCTCTGCAGCGGGGGCCGCGCACCAGCGCTGGCGGGCGCCGCAGGAAGCGCAGCGGGCGCGCCACATTCTGTGCCAGCGCGGGCGACGGAGGCGCAATTGCGCTTGCCCGCGAGGAGCTGCTTGGGGCGATCCGCAGCCGCCTGGACACGGTCGGTTGGGCAGCCGCGCGGGAGATCGCGCCGTTGCTGGGGGTCGCCATGCGCGGGCGCAGCAGCCTCCGGACGCGCGCGGGCCGATCCTTGAGGCCACCGCGGCCCTCGTGAGCGCCACGCGGACGAAGCCGCAGCGTGGGGCCGCGCTGCCGCGGCCGCCGCCGCCGCCAGCCTTGGGCCTTGGGCCGCCCAGCGGGCGCCGCGCGAGCTCCGCTTGCGCCGATGCGGCTGGCGGGGGCCGAGCGCGCCTGCAGCGTTGCCCCCTGCTTGGCACTCCGCGGGCCCCGGTTGGCGGCTAAGCGCGGGCAAGCGCGGGCGAACGCGCGCCGTTTTCCTTCCTCTTCCCTTCCTTGCGCCCTATGTCGTGTCTTCTCTTCGTCGTCGTCGTCGGCGGCGTCGTCGTCGTCGTCTCTTCGTTTCTTGCCACAGGGCCCCCTGCGACCGGTAAAAGAATAGGATATGTGAGACCCGTGGGACCTGTGGGACTTCTGTGGCGTATGGAGATGTGAGTATGTGGGGCCAGTGGGACCTGCGGGGCTTGTGCGGATTTGAAAGACATGCGACACCAAAGGAAGTTGTGGACGTGTGGCGCCGGCGGGATTTGCGGGGCTTTGGAGACCTGCGGGATTTGAGAGACATGCGACACGAGTGGGACTTGTGGAACCTTTGGGACCTGCTGGACCTGTCGCACCTGTGGGACTTGGGGGACGTGCGAAACGAGTGGGGCCTCTGGGACCTGTGGATTTTGTTAGACCTGTGGGACCTTTGGGGCTACCCAGGACGGGATCAGATCGCCGATCCGAAATTTGGACGCACGCTGCAGCGAGAGCGCCACTTGTGAAGGAACAACAGTTCGGCACAATACTGTCTGGAATGAACGAGGACGCGGATGGGGGCGGGAGATGTTCTGGACAGTTGCAGGGGAGAGAGGAGACTAGTATTCATACGGTTTGGCCGACGTATAAAGATCGAGGCCGGTTCGAGGAGGGTGCCCTGCTGGTGTTTTCTGATGTTGTTTATGTTACTGTACATGTTTGGGGAGGGTATCCTCGAACGTTGTTGTCAGTCTCTCCAGCGGAAGGTCTCTTGTCCTTGAAAGATGTGTTCTGTTTTAGGTCTGGCTTTAGTGAGCAGTTGCAGAGAGAAAGGGAGAGAGGGGTGCAGGCTAGTATTCATATTGAGTAAATGTCTAGGCGGGTCGTATACATATTGTGTAGTTGTCGGAAGAGGGGAGGAAGAGGAAGAGGAGAAGGAGGAGGAGTAGGCGACTCATGAGGATACACGCATCTGACACCGTACCCCTTCCCAACCATCCATTATCATTGCGCTGATTTGTCTCTATCCACTACTGGGGGTCACATCGGAAACGGAACCGTCACTGGTCCCCATCGTGTATTGCGCATTCTGGAAATGGCAGGCGTGTAGATTGGAGGAAGAGGTGGCGGAAGGACAGGGGGGTCAGCAAGAGGAAGATGAGAGGGGAGGACCACGATATCTAATTGCAGCAGCAGGAGCAGGGGGAGCGGGAGGAGCAGGAGGACCACGGGAAGGCGTGGCAGAGGAGAGGAAGGTGGCGACAAGGACGAGGACACCTCGGACCCGGACATGTGGCACGCACTGGTGCGATAGTGCCATCCTGAGCGGCGATCCTGAAACGAGGCAGCAAGGAAAGAGCGGTATTACAACCTTGAAGCAGCAGAGATTGCATGGAACACCTAATGAAACGCCAAGTTTTGGAATTCGGTGCAATAAGTGATACACATGAGGGCGGGACAATTCCAGGACGTCGGGTGTGTGAGGAGATCATTGTCCAGAGTCGAGGGTTGTGGGCTGACAGAGGAGGGATGAAAGATGCCGAGCCGAGGTGGAGGAGTAGAAGGAGGCGGAGGAGGAAGAGGAGGAGGGTGAGTAGGATGAGGAGAAGAGAGGCAAGGGTGAGGAGGAGGAGGAGGAGGAGGAGGAGGAGGAGGAGGAGGAGGAGGAGAGGGAGGAGGAAGAGGATGAGGAGACAGGAGGAGCAGGAGGTGAGGAGGTGGGAGTAGTAGTAGGAGGAGGAGGAGTAGGAGGGGGAGCTTGGGAAGCATCCATATGTATCCCGATGCCGGCAGCGACATCGTCAGTTGGAAATGGAGGCGGAAGAGAGGATGGATGAGGACGTTGAGGAAGAGCAGGAGGAGGAAGAGGAGAAGGAAGAAGACCAGGAGGAGGAGCAGGAGGATGATTGTTTGACTCCGACAGCGACAGCGACAGGAGGAGACGGAAGAGAGGAGGGAGGAGGGAGGGGGAGAAGAAGACGGAGGATCAGGAGGTGAGGAGGAGGGAGGAGAAGGAGGAGGCAGGAGGAGGAGGAGGAAAGGGGAGGAGGAGGAGGAGGAGGAGGAGGAGGAGGGAGGAGGGGAGTAGGAGTAGGAGAAGGAGGAGGAGGAGGAGAGGAAGGAGGAGACCACGAGGAGGAGGAGGAGGAGAAGGTGGGGGATGAGGAGGAGGAGGAGGAGGAGGAAGGAGGAGGAGGAGGAGGAGGAGGAAGAGGAGGGAGGAGGAGGAGGAGGAGGAGGAGGAGGAGGAGGAGGAGAGGAGGAGGGTGAGGAGGAGGAGGAGGATGTGGAGGAGAAGCAGGAGGAGGAACAGGAGGTGAGGAGGAGAAGGAGGAGGAGGAGGAGGAGCAGGAGCAGGCGATGAGGAGGAGAAGCAGGAGGCAGAGGAGGAGGACTAAAAGGAGGAGGAGGAGGAGGAGGAGAGGAGGAGGAGGATGAGCAGGAGGAGGAAGAAGCAGGAGGAGAGGTGGAGGAGGAGGAGGAGAAGGAGGGAGGAGGAGGAGGAGGAAAATGAGGAGGAGGAGGAGGAAAAGGAGGAGGAGGAGGACGAAAAGGAGGAGGAGGGGAAGAGGAGGAGGAGGGGAGGAGGAGGGAGGAGGAGGAGGAGGAGGAGGAGGAGAGGAGGAGGAGGAGGAGGTGGAAGGAGCAGCAGGAAGAGGAGGAGAACGAGGAGGAGGAGGAGGTGGAGGAGGAGGAGGAGGAGGAGGAGGGAGTAGGTAGGAGAAGGAGAAGGAGGAGGAGGAGGAGGAGGAGGAGGAGAGGAGGAGGACCACGAGGAGGAGGAGGAGGGCGAAGGGGGGGATGAGGAGGAGGAGGAGGAGGAGGAGGAGGAGGAGGAGGAGGAGGAGGTGGAGGAGCAGCCGGAAGAGGAGGAGAACGAGGAGGAGGAGGAGGAGGAGAAAGCAGGAGGTGAGGAGGAGGGAGGAGGAGGAAGATCAGGAGCAGGCGATGAGGAGGGAAAATGGAGCGATAGTGCCGTCTGTTCCCTCCATCCGCTTCGGCCGGCAGGCGCCGAGGCGCCCTCCCGACGAGGCGGCGCCCGCCGCCGCTCCGGAGGAGGCTGGGGTGCGCCCAGCGCCCGCTGACGGGGCGCCCGCTGGCCCCGAGGAGGCGTCAGGGCGTGGAGGTGGAGCGGAAGTGGCAGGTTCGCCGATGGAAGTGGAAGCGGAAGTGGAGGTGGAGGCGAAAGTGGAGTGGGGAGTCGGGGGCGGACAGAACCCCCAACAGTGACACGTCGATCAGTGAACTGTCCGTTTTCGGTTCTCGAGAGGGCGCCGTGGCCGCTATTTTCCAGGCTTGCGCCCGCCAGGTTTGGGCCTCAGGTCGTTTTCACTAAACCACGTTTTACTAAAGGGGGGTCTGTCCATCCCCGAGGGAGGTTGTCGGGGCGTGGAGAGGAGATGGAGGTGGGAGCAGATGTGGAGATGGAGGTGTCGGGGCGCGGAGGTGGAAACGGAAGTGGAGATAGAGTGGAGTTGGGGAAGAGCAAAGGATATCGTTACCCGTCGCCTGGTTTTGCGTTTCTCGACCTCCTGGGAGGCCCTTGTCGACACGGCCAGACTCGCCGCGAAATCCGGGTCAGAACGAACCTCTGGATTGGTCTGGGGAGAAGCGGTACGGTATCGTTACGTTTTGATTTCCCCATCGGGTGTATAACTCCAGTGTTATGGCGGGCATGTCCCCCTACAGGCGGATTTGTGACGAAAAATTCAAAAGTACCCCATAAATGCATCACAAATACTTCAAAATGGTCAAACAGTCGTCCCCAGACTGTTTTTCGTATATTTTTGAGTCTTCCCCCTGTAGAGGGACACGCACGGCTTAACTCCAGGGGGAAATACGGTCGGGAACTGTTGCTTAGCACGTCGCGCCAATGGTTCTGGCCCACCACGCCCTCGGTGCGACACGCTAATCTTAAGTCGGACCTGTACCTCTACTACATGAAGAATGTTCAAAAGTTTTTGAAAAATAGTCAGGGGACGAATTGGTTTAAACATTTCATTACAATTTGGCCTTATTTGTTCCACTATGTTTGTTTTTCGTCCAAAATCCCCCTTTAGGGGGACACGCCCGGGTCCCCAGGCGTCCACGTCCCCGAGTCTTTCCCAGCAGGCCCCCTTGCGGAGCGGAGCGACACGCTATCCGCTTACAGGGCATACTCCGAATCCCTTATTCATCGTCCCCCGGGTCCCGTGTTTTTAGGTACCTTTTTTGTAACTGGGGGGGTCCGGTTGATTAGGGCGCTTTCTTTGGATTGGAGCTTCGGGGGTCCGGTGTATCAAAGCGCCCAGTCGAAGAGGGGGGGCCGGAATATGTGGTCGCATTTGGAGGGGGACTTGTTTTTTTGTAGGGGGGGGATTAATCAGGAATTTAGAGTAGAGTGTCGCCGAGGCCGCCGAGGCGACACGCTAAGCAAAAGTGTTTCACCGTCTTAATCCAAGCATTGCTACGCCACTGGCTCGTCGCTCCGAAAACGATAAGACCTCAGGTCAGAGACCAGCATCAGTGTTTCGCGGATTCTCGCGACGAGTCTTGCTTGAACTTCGCTTGCAACGTCGGGAACAACGTTACGGGAGGAGGAAAAGATGGAGGAGGAGTGGGGAGGAAGGAGGAGGAGGAGGAGGAACAGGAGGAGGAGTATAATGGAAGGAGGAGGAGGAGGAGGAGGAGGAGAGAAATGGATGAGGAGGAAAGGGGGAGAGCAGGAGATGCGGTCAGGACATGGTGTTTAGCTCCTCGGAAGTTCCCTACCAATTTTCCAAACATGTTCAGAGGTTGTCACGTGTTTTCCATTGGCTGCGCCTCGACAAGTGCGTCCCAGGGGTGCCAGGATCGTCCCGAAGGGCCGTCAGAGGCCCGAGTTGTAGCGCGTGCACCACCCAGAACCCACACGACAGGGGTGGGATAGGCTGCGGACGTGTTTGGGAGCTGATCGTCGCTTCCTGGAGGTCTTCCTGGGGGAACTGCGTCCTTCGCCAAAGGAGCTGCAGCCTTTGGACGGCCGAGGGGCCTGCATCCCTGTGCACGCGCTGCCTGCAGCACCGTCCCTCTCCCCCATCCCTGACGGACAACGTTAGCCAGAGGACAAGCTCAGGGGCGGGATGCGTCGACTGGCCCCGAGGAGGCCTCACGGGGCAACCCCAGGGGGGTTGGGCTTTTGACGTTCTCTGACGTTCTCGTCGGTTTTTGCAGATTTTCCTGCCTCGGGTCACGATGTTCCGGCCCTGATCGCCAGGAGGAATTTCGAGCACCAGGGACTTGCCGAAATGAAGAGGTTTTCACGTGTCGGGCCTTGGGAGGCGAGACTCGTTCGACACTCTTTCGATACTTTCCTGGGTGTTCGAAATGATTTCTGGGATGTGGCCCTCAAGTACGACGGGAGAACACGAGCCTCGGGATGCTCTTTGGCAGCTGCGCCTCGGCGAGAGGCCTGCGCGCCCCGCCACGGGACGACAAGGCTGTCAGAGAACCGTTGCTTTGCGCGTCGTGCCGCGCCGGTTCTGGCCCACGGCGCCTCGGCGCGACGCGCTGACCGTAAGTCGGGCCGGTCCGTGTACAGGAGGAGTGTTGAAGATAGTCAACAAATGGTCAGGGACAGTTTCTTTTGGTTTGGTTGAATATGCTTGACTGTGTGTTGAGTATTTCCCTACCTAGGCTCTGCCTAGGAGGGTTCTTGCTCTATATGCTTAAAGGGCCGGGCAGTGGGTATCGCCCCGGGCGGTTCCCCCGGCATTCGCCCCGCGGTTCCCCCAGTTGCGTCCCCTTAGCTGAGCGTTGCTTATCTCATATTAGCTTAGCTTAGTTCATCTTAGCTTAGCTTAGCTTAGTCTAGGCTCTGCCTGGAGGGTTAGCTTAGCTTAGCATAGCGCAGCGCTGCATTAGCATAGCATAGCATAGCATAGCATACCATAGCCAGGCATATCATAGCATATCATAGCATAACATAGCATAGCATAGCGCAGCCTATCATATCATAGCATAGTATAACGCAGCTTAGCCTAGCATAACATAGCTTAGCATAGCACAGCACACCATGCCATATCATAGCTTCGCATAGCGTAGCATATCATAGCATATCATAGCATAACATAGCGCAGCATAGCATAGCATAGCATAGCATAGCATAGCATAGCGCAGCATATCATGGCATAACATAGCATAGCATAGCATAGCAACTAGTGCTGCTTTCCTAGGGGGTCCAACTTCTAGGTAGGGTCGCACTGGGGTAATTGTTTGACTATTTCTATTTTTCCGCCACGTCTCCTCCTGCAGGAGGACATGCCCGACCTAACGCTAACCACGTCCACAGTCCTTAGGCGCTAATCGTGTAAAGCAAGGACCCCAATGTGTGCGGCTTGTGTGCGCCCCCCGAGCCCTTCCATTCGCCAGAATCAGTACATCATGTCTGCCGTGGCTGTTTTTTTTTCGGGTGACGGCAGTTCCGGTTAGTGGAACGGGGCGGGGGGGCGTCCCCCAGTACACATCACTTAACCAGGTCCCACTAAACCCAGTTCTGCCAACGCCCGAGCCAATGCCCCGAGCCTGTCCCACCCCGCGCCCCGTGGAGCGGAGCGACGCACTATCAGCTTGCAGGGCACAGCGTGTCGCCAGGGCCGCCGCCGCCGCCACACGCCAATGCAAGAGTTTGTCTCAGGGGGCAATGTATCGGCCTCAAATCGCCCAAGTGTCGCTGGTATGAAGCCGGGCATGTCACCCTACAGGCAGATTTTCGACGAAACGTAACTAACATGTATCCAACACATGTTCAAAATTTGTCAAACAAATTTAAAAAAATCGTCCCCATATTGGGAATCTTCCCCTTGTAGAGGGACATGCCAGCCTTAATGGTAGGGGCCCGATGGCCATTTCGTCGGTTCCGGGAGGTTTGCCTGCCTCGGGATGCGTTTCAGCAGCTGCGCCTCGCCGAGAGTCGTCCGGAGGTTGCCCAGGTCGTCGCCAGCGGCCGATGGAGACCCGAGTTATGAACCCGAAGGCCAGACGAGGAGGATCGCTGGAAGGGATAGGCCCAGGGGGGCAACGCATCTGCCCCCCGTCGCCCACTCATCGCCGACAGGGCCCCGATAACCGGGCGGTTTCCCTATCATGGTCCTCTCGCCTATCTATCGTCGACGTATCGCCGATTTCAGCTCGAGTTCCTTCCCCCGTCATCGTCAGGAGGGGAAGAAGCACACACTGGCACAACGAGTCGTCGGTTCCCAAGAAAATATAGGAAAACATTGGAAGTGGGGGCGGGAGACGAGACTCCAGAAGATATGGGGAAATATGGGGAATCCTTGACCCTCTTCTGCTGTCTGCTTATTTGCTGATGGGAGCGTTTTCCACCACCACCACCATAAGTTGGAGGGGGGAAGAAGGAGGACGAGGAGGAGGACGAAGAGGAGGAGGACGAAGAGGAGGAGTAGGAGGGCACCCTCCCCCTCCAACTTATGGTGGTGGTGGTGGAAAACAGGCCCACCATTTGCGCGTGCCCCCGGGCCCCCTGATCTCGCTGCCCCTCGGAGGCGGCCGCCGTCGCGCCGCCGGCCGCCGAGGCGGCGGAGGCTCGCGGGAGAGGAGACGGCTCTGGACCTCCGTCCGGGTTGTCTTTCTCCTCGGCCTCGTCTCGGGCGGGCGGCCATGGGGGGTGATCAGAGCCCCGAATCATCAGGGGTAACTCGGGTCAGGGATAACTCGGGTTCGTTTTTCGGGAATCCAAACCCGAGTTACCCCGGACCCGAGTTACCCCGGATAACTCGGGCGTCCAGAGCCCCGAATCATCAGGGGTAACTCGGGTCAGGGATAACTCGGGTTCCTTTTTCGGGAATCCAAACCCGACTTACCCCGGACCCGAGTTACCCCGGATAATTCGGGCGCCCAAGGTGATCTTCCTTGGGGGGGGGGAGAGCGTGGCGCTAGACGGGCCCTGTCGGGCCCCTGTCGGGCACCAGCTGGCTCCAAGAGGGGCCCTGCAGGGCCCCGTTGGGGCAATCTTCTTCTCCCCCCCCCCCCCTTTGGGTGTCGTCGGGAGCCTCGAGGCGCGGGGGTCCATGCAGGCGGGGGTCAACCAGAGCGCTGGATCCTGCAGGCTCCTGCAGGGCCAGGGGCACACTGACCCGGGCTCGGGCGCAGGATCCTGCAGGAGCCAACGGGATCTCCTGCAGAATCCTGCAAGTCCTGAGCAGCCCGGGTGTGCTCAGGAGGGAAAACACACACGTCCATTCCCAGAAAAATGCTGGAAACTATTGGAAGTGCTGGGGAAGACAGAACTCCACGAAATATTGGAAAATGTGGGGAATTCCGATTCCGAATCGATCCGATTCCGAATGTGCCTGCTCTTTCAAGGCCCCTGGGGGTAACTCGTGTTTCTGCCCCCCCCCTCCCCCCTCCTCCCGCTCCCCCTCCCTTCCCTTCCCTCCCCCCTCCCCGCTCTCTCTGTCGTGTCGTCCCCTCGTCGTGGTTCCCCCTCTTTGCCACAGGGCTCCTCCGCGCAGGTAAAAAAAAGTGTTCCCCCTCTCCACCCGAGACACCCCCCAGACCCCCCCTCGTAACGGTAACGCCTGAAGACCTGCCACAAGCGTGAATCCTTGCAGCCTGCAAAAGACATTGTAAGGAGTACTACTCAGGCGCTCCGGCGCACGCAGACATCGACGTGCACCAGGGCGAGTGCAACGGGCGTGGCGTATGCGTGCGCTGCGGTGCACATGGCTGTTGTGGCGTGCACAGGCATTGCGGTGTTCACAGGCGTAGTGATCCACGCAGGTATTGTGGTATACACAGGCGCTGTGGTGCACGCGGCTGCTGTGGTGTTCATAGGCGCTGTGGTGTACGCAAGCGTTGCGCAGCTGAAGGGTATCAGAAGAACTGGGACAGGACGATGAGGAGGAGGCGGAGGGAGAATAGGAGGTTGGAAGGGGGAGGGAGCAAGATGATAATAATCTTTTTCCTCCGTGGGAAGGGGGAGGCAGCAAGAGGGGGGAGGGGCTCCTGCTGGTCCTCCTGTTCATGCTCCTCTTGCCCTTTTTTCTGCTGCTCCACCTCCCGCTCCGGTTTCCCCATCCAGCTCTTGCAAGCCATCGCGGCTCGCCCCCGCACCAGAAATCGCGAAAATCCCCACGGTGAAACTTCGCCTGGCCACGACCATCGCTGAGGCGTCCCCCGCGAGGGCCCTGAAGGACGAGCCCCAGGGGCCTCCTGAGGCTGCGGCGGGCCCGGCGAAGAGGCGGAAGCGGAGGAAGGGGAGGAAGATGAGCACCAGCAGGGGCAGGAGAAGGGGCCCGCTGGAGCGAGGGGGGCCCTCTGCGTCGCAGTCGGCAGTTTCCCGGTCGGTCCCCCATGGTTCTGGCGGCGACGACAGGAAGAGGAGGAGGGGGTGGAGGAGGAGGCCGAGGAGGCGGAGGAGGTGAATGACGAGTCCTGATGGCCTTCGCAGTCTGCGGAGAGCCCCGCAAGCAGGCTCCTCCTGTCCTCGTTCCAGTGGTGGAGGAGGCGGAGGAGGAATTGACGAAGAGTCCTGAGGGTCTCCGCGGTCTGTGGTACACATGGCCGCTGTGGCGCACACAGGTACATTGGTATACACAAGCATTCTGGTGCACGCAGGCTCTGTGGTGTACACAGGTGCTGTCGCGCACGCGGCTGCTGCACTTACACAGGCACCGTTGTGTACACAGGCGACGTGGTGCTGTGGTGCACGCGGCTGCTGTGGTGTACAGTGGTGTACGTAGGCGGTGTCGTGTTGCACGCAGGCATTGGGCATTGTCGCATACACAGGGACTGCGGTGCACACGCGCGATGGATGTGCTGGCTGCGGGGACCCACCCTGGCGGGTGCACGCCGCGGCCGTCGTTATTGCTACCCCCCCGACCGCGCCAGCCCCCCGGGGTAACACGTGCTCTTATCCTGGCGAAGGACCCGGCCACATGCAGTTGTGAGTACCGCGCTGAATCTCCCAATGGGGCCACGAAACGTGTGAGGGGTGTGCCAAATTGGGTGGCGGGGACGGATGTGGTCACAGCCACTTGGGCCTTCGGTGTAGCTCCCTATGGGTCCGCGAAGAGTGTGAGGGGTGTGTCGAAATGGCTTGCAGGTACGCATGTGGTCACAGTCATTGGGGCCTTCGGTGGGGCTCCCCATGGGGCCAGAAAGCGTGTGAGGGGTGAGCCCACATGGGTGGTGACGACGCATGTGGTCACAGTCGTTGGGGCTTTCGGTGGAGCTCCGTATTGGGCCACGGAACGTTGTATTGGGTGCGCTGAGTTGGTGGACGTGCGAATGGGAGAGGCAGGGAGGGAGGAGGGGCGAGGAGGAGGAAATGGACCTCGGGTCGCTGTCAATCCAAAACGAGGACCCAACACCGCAGGATGGTTGGGAAACAAATCAGTCACATTCCGCGCCAGTCCAGCCCCACCCGATGCACGTTTCGCTCCAGACCGAGTCCTTGCCTGTCGGCGGGACAACAAGCCAATTGAACAGAAGTGTTCGGAAGTCCGCGAGAATAGCTTGGGCTGGCGCGCACTGGGCCCCTTCTGCGGCGCATGCGGCGTCGCCGCAGGCGCGTTCTGCGCGCCAGGGGGGGCCCACAACACCAGAACGCGTCCAAAATCCGCAATCTTCGATCTTCGTGTGAGTAGAGGAACGACCAGCTGCATCAACATAACTTTCGGAATACCGCGCAGATTTCTTGCGTCTGCGCTGGACCCCCTCGCTGGCGTGCAGAGCGCTCCACAGGCGTCGCAGGGGGGGGTCCAGAGCCGACCCCATAGGTCCGCGCGGACCTCCGAAATTTCGGAGGCGTCGCCTTCTCGCTGAGAGCGAGGGGGGATGGGGAGGGAGGGGAGCGAGGGAGGAGGGAGGGGGGAGGGAGGGGCGAGGGAGAAGGGAGAGGGGGAGGGGGGAGGAGGGAGGAGGAGGGAGGAGGAAGGGGGACGAGGGAGGAGGAGGTAGGAGGGAGAGGTCCGCCGTTCGTTGTTCTTTCGGAGGCCAGCGCCGCGGAGGCGCCGGCGCACGCGGAGCCGAACGCCGTGAAGGCACTGGCTCGTCCTGCCCTGCCGTGCGTTTCCTGCCGTGCCTCCCTTCCTGGCCTTTCCCCCACATGGCTCCTCCGTCTCTGGCTCCTCCTCCCACCTCCCCCTCCCCCTCCCCCCTCCTCCTCCTCCTCCTCCCCTCCTCCTCCTCCCCTCCTCCTCCTCCTCCTCCTCCTCTGCCTCATCCTTTTCCTCCTCCTCCTCCTTTTCCTCCTCCTCATTTTTCTCCTCCTCCTCCTCCTCCCCTCCTCATCCCCCGTCCTCCTCCTCCTCCTCTTCCTCCTCCTTCTCCCTGCTTCCTCGTCATCCTCCCCCCTCCTCTTCCCCCGTCGTCCGTCCTTGTCCTCCTCTTGATGTCTCTCCTCCTCCTCCTCCTCCTCCTTCTCCTCCTCCTTCTCCTCCTCCTCCCTCCATCCCCCCTCCTCCTCACTATATTTTTCTTATCTGACGCCCGTCCGGGAGACGTACGCCCTCTGCTACCTCCTCCTGTTCCCGCCGCTTTCCTCTTTTGTTCTCCCCGGTCTCCGTTGTTCCCTCCCTACCGCACGTTGTGTTTCTCCTCGCCCCTTTCTTCATCCTGCTCCCTTACCCCATCCGTGTCCTGCGACAGAACTATCCTGGGCCGACAGCTTACGTCCTGAAACCAAACAGAGGTAGACATATAATCAAGGATGAAGGTGGCCCAACCCAATTTCGGGTTGTTCAAGAAGGCGTTTATTACCAAGTCCTTTTATTTGAATGATGCATGACCGATTGCGCCTATTCAACGACGTTGTTGTTGGTGCAAGTCTGTGATACGGGTGCGCGTCATGGACAGTCGCGGCGTAATTGGAGGGCGAATCGCGGGTGGCACAGCGCCAAATGTTACGTACGATTGTGAGAGCGCCACGACGTTGGTACATTGGCGCGGCGGACAGCGGGGGCGCGGACAATGTCGATGGCAGGGGCAATGTTGACGCGGCATTGTCAGCGAGCGACGCCAACAGCGACACGCCCAACAATTTGTCCCCTTCCAGTGCAACTTCTGGTGCTCACGCCTACGGCGAACCATGGCACGAGCAGAGTGGAAGAGCAACGCGCACGGTGGAACACATGCTCTCAAGCCAGCTACGAGGGCTGCATTACAACCTGCAGACGGCGGAGATAGAGCCGGGTGTCTTAATCAAAGTTGGCGAGGTGCGATGCGGGACCCACCTTGCTGCGACCTGCGTGCCGTCGCCGCAGCGGCCTCGGATGCGCTTGTTCGACGACATGTGCTCTACAGTGCGAAGCAGTCGTGCGTGTATCGGCTGGGAAACGTTAATTTGCAATGACGAGTTGTGGAACGATGGAACGTTTGCCCGCTCACATTGAGAAGTCCAGGCGCACCCGCCGTTCCCTGCACGTCACGCCCTCGGGTCTTCATCGGCGCCGCTTCGCTCCGCTCCGCCCCGTTTCCTTCCTCTTGTCTCACGTTTTGCTGACTTTCGCAGATCGGCTGTAGCGGTCATCTCCTTCTTATCCTTCTGTCCGTCGCCCCTTTTATCCTACCTCCTTCCCCGTTTCCTCAGAATTTCCTCTTCTTTCCTTCCTCGTCCCCTCCTTTCTACTCCTCCCTGCTCCCTCCCTCCTCATCCTCTTTCCTCTTCCATCCTCCTCCTACGCCCGTCCTTTTCGTTGGACCCGCTGTCCGTGGCCGACATGCTGTAGGTTTCATCTTCTCGTTATCCTCCCTCTCTCCTGCCTTTTTCCCTCTCTCCTCCTTCCAGCTTCCCTCATTCCTCCCTCCCTCCTCCCTGTCTCACTCATCCTCTTCGTCATTCCTCTCTCCTCCTTCCCTCCCCCTCCTCCTCCTCGTCCTGCTCATTTGTCTTCGTTCCTGGGAGACGAAGGGTGAAGGAGAAAGGGAGCAGGAAGTCCCTGACCCTTTCTCATCCACTGTCGCTCCTTCTCCCTCCTCTTCCTCTTGCCCCCCCCCTTCTTCCTCCATCGTTGCTGCTCCCCCATCTGACCCTCCTTCCTTACTCTTCCTCCCACCTCTTCCTTCCTCCTCGACCCCTGGAGGACGGGGGGGGCGACAGAAGTTGGAGGACAGGGGGGACCGCTGGGACTTGCCTCTGTGGGGTCCAGCGCTGGTTGCGCATAGAACAGCACTGGTACCGGCGGCGGGTTCTTCTTTTTCTTTGTGGCACACCCTTCGCCCTCCTTTCTCGGTGGTTGAGCACGTGCTTCCCAAGATGTCCATAGAGCGGGACGCGGTGGATGCCCTCATCCGCTGGTATTGCCGGGAGTCCGGGGTGAGGAACCTGCAGAAGCACGTGGAGAAGATATGCCGGAAGCTGGCCATCAGGGTCGTGGAGAGGAACGAGGCGACGCTCTCCTCGGAGAGCAGCGGGGAGGAGGCCGCCCATCAGGGCCGCGGGGAGGAGCGCCGCAGCGATGGCGACGGCGCAGAGGGGGAGCTGCGGGTGACGGCGGAGAACCTGAGCGACTACGTCGGAAAGCCCGTCTTCACGTCGGACCTTCGGCGGGGGGGGTCCCGACGCATACATTCCACGCCTTCGTGGCCAGACCGGGAGCAGAGGATGTTGTCGAGTGAGTCTGGTGCAGAGACTCGAGCACCCCACAGATCGGAAAGTTGGGCCGTCTCTACATCGAGCTCCTTGGCCGACCAGGTGATCCGATGCATACACCTTAGGCGATGTTTAAGAAAACTTAAATTTTCGGCCATGGTCTCGATTATTCTTAATGTTTCAATGTAAATCCTAAGATTCGAATGGGAATTTTGGGTTTTTATTCAAGTTCTGAGACTATGAATTTCTTAACCCATGATTTCTTAAGGATTTCGCAGGGTGTACGCCAGAGGAGAAGCACCGTCATCGAAAACCCATCGAGCGGGCCCACCCCTGGGCGGTGGCACGCCGGAGCGTCGTCTGGCACCTGCTGGTTGACGCTCGGGCGTGCCACCGCAAAGGGGTTCCCCCCCGTTCCCCACCCCCAGGGAGGGGCCTGGACGTCGTATACGTTTTGCTTACTTTCCAGACGGGGTCCTTGGAAGTCCCGACCCCTTTCCCCGTTGCCGGTCAGTCCCGGGCCCCCCTTTGGCGGCCGAACATGGCAAAAGGCTTCCGTCGTGAGTTCTGTCACGATGCGAGGATGGGTTGCGCCTCCCCCCATAACATCTCGGTGGCGGTGATGCCTCTTGGTAAGGCTTCGGGCTGCGTGCAGACAGCCCCCACACAGGCAGTCCCGGGTGGGTTCAACAGGCTCCGAGAGCAGTCTTGGCTGGCCTCAACAGGCCGCCCGAATAACGCAGGGCGGTCTCGACACCCCAGCCCCGGGGCGCGGATCGCCCAGGTGTTGGGGCCAGCCGGGGCTGCCCAGGGAGCCCGCTGAGGCCAGCCGGGACAACTTGGGGGGGGTGTTCTGCGCGCAGCCCGAAGCTTTGCCAGCCAGCTTCCCCGCTCCTACTCTCAGTGCGTCGAGCCGGACCCCGGAGCCGCGACCCCGCAGATACGGGGCGTGTTTGTCGCGGATGCCCCGCGCGGATGTGCCTATCCGCGGGATCGCGCCCTGGAATTCAGACCGCGAGGGCTTGGAGATGGAGATGTACGCCGCTTGCGAGCTCCTGCTCTCGAAGCGCCGCGCCCACCAAGCCCCAGGTAGTCCCGGCTGGCTTCAGCAGGCTCCCGGAGTAGGTAGTTCTGGCTGGCCTCAACAGGCCGCCCAAGCAGTTCAGGGCGGTCTCAACACCCCAGGACTGGGGCGCGAAGCGCCCTAGGGTTGCCGCTGGAGGCGGCGCCGTGGTGTTGAGGCCAGCGGGGACTACTCGGGGAGCCTGCTGAGGCCAGCCGGGACTACCTGGGGCTCTGTCTGCGCACAGCCCGAAGCCTTACCAGTATCTACGCTCCTACTCTCTGCGGCGAGCGAGGGGGGGAGTTGCAAGGGGCAGGCCTTCTCCGAAGGCTCGGAAGTCCTCCAGCCTTCCGAGAAAAGTTTTGAGCCTTCCCCAAAGACAACACAAACCTCTCAGAACGCCCGATGCCTGAGAAGCCCCGCCGCCTTCTGAGAAGGCCTCCTCCTTCGCAGTTCTCCCCCGTCGCTCGCCGCCTCTACTGGGGGGTCTCGATTTTCGTCGGCTCCGCAGTCGTGCTTATTGCGAAGCAGATCAGGCAGGCAAAATCCAGGCAACATCGCTGCGTCTACTCTCGCTGCGTCGAGCCCCTCCGCAGGACCGTCTCTACGACGGGGAGCTGCCCGCGGGCACGGTGACGGGCCTGGCCTGGACGTCCATGGGCGGGGCGGTGCTCTACGTCGAAGCCGCCGCACTGCCGCGGTCCGGGGACGCGAAGGTCCCGCCGTCGGTGAACGTCACCGGCCAGCTCGGGAGCGTGATGAAGGAGCGGTCATTTCGAGGGCTGCAAAGAGGGGGGTGATGACACACGGGGGGGGTACCATGACGTGGGCCATGATATTTCCTCAGATTTCATGGCGCCTCTCCTTATTTCATTATATACGTCCCTGGCCCCCCCCCCTCCTGGGCCGCGCACATGCCGCGGGCCATGATTTGCGCCCCCCTCTCTTGGCCGCCCCCCTCTTGGCCACCCCCGACATTCGAAGGGGACAGACCCAGGCATGATCGCGTTGCACAAACATTGGGACCTTAGCTGCCCTGATACGCACGTCTTGAAACGCAAGACGTGCCGTGCTCAAAACGTCCATGTGAGCACGCTGCGTGTTGGCTCGACGTGTTGGCCCACGCTTTGGGCTCGATCGCATCGCGCCTAAACCCACGTTTTCAGCCTACGTGTTGAACTCCGTGTCAACACGCAACGTGTTGCGTGTTGCGTGTCGCGGCAGCTAAGGTCAGGACGAGCAGCTTCTGATGTTAGTTTGGGCCTCCGGGGGCCCGTTCAGGAGGACGAACCGGCCCCGGGGAATGGGCCGAGACTCCCGCGGAATGCGGCCGTCGCATGTCTGAGAACAGCATCGGCGTACACCGTCGACGGTGCCCCCGCGGACCGCCGCTCGGACCTGCGCTGGGCCTCCCTGGCGGCGCCTCCGGCGCGGACCGTCGACAGCTTCTGCGTGCGCAGTTGTTCCTCGGGGGAACGGAAGGGAAGGGAGGAGGGAGCAGGAGGAGAAGGAGGAGGAGGAGGAGGAGGAGGGGGGACGAGAGGGGGAGGGAGGAGGGGGGACGAGAGGGGAGGGAGGAGGGGGGGGGAGGAGGAGCAGGAGGAGGAGGAGGGAGGAGGAGGGTGAGGGGGAGGAGGAGAAGGGGAGGGGAGGAGGAGGAGGAGGAGGAGGAGGAGGAGGAGGAGGAGGGGGAGGAGGAGGAGGAGGAGGAGGAGGAGGATCAGCCCAGACTCCTCCGTGGAGGGCCAGCTCGGGGCCACGGCGGCCCTCCCCGTAGAGGCGCGCGTCCGCCCTATCTCTCTCGCCGGGCCTCGGCCGTCGGGGGCTCTCGGGGGGCGGGCGGAGGGCTTCTCCGAAGGGCTCCGGCGACCCCTCCTCCCCCGCCTACCTCCTCCTCTCCTCCCTCCCACCTCCACCTCTCCACACCTCACCCTCCTCTCCCTCCTCCCTCCTCCCCATCCCTCCTCCCTCCTCCCTCCTCCCCCTCCTCCCCCTCCCCCTCCCCTCCCCCTCCCCTCCTCCTCCCTCCTTCCCCTCCTCCCTCCTCCCTCCTCCTCCTCCCTCCTCCTCCTCCTCCTTCTCCTCCTCCTCCTCCTCCTCCTCCTCCTCCTCCTCCTCCTCCTCCTTCTCCCTCATCCTCCTCCTCCATCGTCGTCCCCCTCGCCCTCCTCCACCTTCTCCTCGTCCTCCCCCTCCTCGGGTCGCCCACGGCCCCGGGGGAAATCGTGCAGGGATGGATGTCGATGCAAACGGGGGTCAGCCAGGGTGGCGGATTTTGCAGGATCCTGCAGGGCCAGAGGCGCACTGACCCGGGTCATGGCGCAGGGTCCAGCAGGATCCTGTTGGACCGACCCTGCAGGATCCTGCAAGGCCTAACCCGACCTCGGTGTTGCATTGACCCGGGTCAAGTGCGTCCCCGAGGCTGGCCCCCCTCTCCGAGGTCAGAGGCAACGTTCGGGTTGGCGAAGGCTGACGTGGGGGGGATGCATCGACCCGCTATCGCCTACACGTCGCCGATAGGGTCCCGAATTACCCGTCCCGCCAAGAAGCGGGCCGCTTCGGTTTAAGCAGTGGCGAAGCGTCCTGGCGCGCCTATAGTCCTACCAAACAATCGTATAAAAAACACCTTTTGTGGTTTCCACGACATGTTCTTAGAACATTTCTGGTTGGGACTGTCTTGTTTTATCACATCGGGTTTTTGTTCTAAGAACACTGTTTGTGTGATTCGGACATGTTTGGGATCTAAGAACATGTTGTGGAAGGTGCAGAATCCCCCAGATCGGATAGGGCCCGAGTGGACGGAGGCTCTCCCGCCCGGCCCGGCTCCGCTCGCCGTCGGCCCCCCCTGGACTCCTCTCGGGGTCGAGCCTCGCCCGCCTCCCGAGGGGGGCTCCGCCGCGGCGAGGGAGGAGCCTCGGCAGGGCAGCCCCCCCTGGAGGGCGAGACGCGCCGGGGAGGGCCGCCGGGGCCCCGACGGGCCCCATCTCCCAGGCTCGAGCCACCCAGACCGAGGAGGGAGGGAGCGGAGAGTTGCGGAGGGGGAGTACCGTCGGCCCTGATTATTGCAGTCGGGGCCCCGAAGAAGGAGCCCTTTTGGTTGGCGAGGGGCTCCGCGTTCCTTGAGTGGTTCACAGCTTGCCTCGGGTTTTCCTTATGCTTTCGATCGGAAATGGAAGTTTCACTTATGGAAAAAAAGGGGCCTCGTTCCTTATTTAGGGTTCCTTAGGTCAAGACCCTCACTGTAGGTCGACCCTGCCAAATCAAGGGTACCCTGAGGTACCCTTGTGTCCTGTGCCTCGCGACCCATGCCTCCTGCATCCCCCATGGCAATGTGGCCCTCGGAAGGGTCTTGTGTCTTCTCGCGTGTCCTGTCCAATCAAGGCCGACTGTACGGGAAATGGAGGGGAGGGGGAGCATCCAGGAAATACTTCAAGATGTTGGAAGTCCTGGGGAGGGGGGGGGCGAGGCGAGGTGGGAGGGGGGCGGGGAGGGTTCGGGGCCGATCCCCCTCTCTTCCACCACGTGCCCCCTCCCTACATGACGCCCCCGTGCTGACGTATGTCAACCGCTGCCCGTTACTGCAGCGCGCAGTTGATGCGAGCCGGCGCGCTTACACTTAGCTGTAATCATGTTTCGCATGCGTTCTCCGGGCCTTTTCCATTCTATGCTTTTCTGCCGATGAGCCGTCCAGGCGCGGCCAGTTGTGCGTGGGCCCCTTTTCGGCGACTGCAAAATGCAAACAAGCCACACCCTTTGCAAACTACATCCTTCAGAGTCGCCGACCTCCAATCGGCGGACATCCCGGGGGGAGGTGAGAGGGGGCCGGCCTTCTCAGAAGGCTCGAGAGTCCCCCTGCCTCCTGAGAAGCTTCTCGAGCCTCCCCCGAAGACGCAGAAAGACCTCGCAGAAGGCGCGAAGGCTTCTGAGAAGCCCCGCCGCCTCCTGAGAAGGCCTCCTCCTTCTCAATTCCCCTCCCCCGTCGCTCGCCGCCGACTTCAGTTTTCTGATCATGCCTCGGGTCTCTGGCAGCCGTTCGAGACGATCCGGGCATCCCCGGAACGCTCTCGGCGAGGCGCAGCCGCTGGAACGCATCCCGAGGGCGGCAAAGTTCCGCCACGGCGCTGCGAACCGCCCGCAAACCTGGATAACCTCGGAGTTCGAACCTCGAAGCTCCCCCCCCCTCCCCCTGCCTCGCTGCATCCCGAGGGCGGCAAATTTCCGCCAAGGCGCTGCGAACCGCCCGCAAACCTGGATAACCTCGGAGTTCGAACCTCGAAGCTCCCCCCCCCCTCCCCCTGCCTCGCTCGCCGCCGACTTCCGTCCTCGTGCTCCTCCGAGGCGGGAATGTATACGTGACCACCGCCCGGAGGGTCAGTCTTCGGAGCCTCGACAGGCGGTGGATATGGACATACTCGGGCCCCTGGGGGCCGAAGTATATCCACCGCCCGCTGGGGCACCAGGACGTCGGTTCTCAGGCGATAGATTCGGGCCGGGCGAAAGGGGGGGATTGGGAAAGGGGGGGGTACGAAATTTGCTGCATGCAGCTGGTTTCGGCCTCACCGAGGGGCCCATTCCTCGATACATAGCCGCCTCCGGCGCCGGGAGGCGCCGGGAAAATCAGCTACGTGAGCTGATTCTCAAACCCCCCCTTTGCTATCCCCCCCTTTCGCCCGACTCGATAGATGTGGATAAATCCCCGCCTCGCAGCTTCGACGCCTCCCCGACCCAGGAGTCCTCGCAGGTCTCGCTCCTGGTGGCGCGGCGGGAGGCCGCCCGGCGCCTGCCGGGCGAGGGCGCCGCCTTCTTCGAGAGGCGCCGATCGGCGGCGGCGCCGCGGGCCGGCCACCCCTCGCGTCGTCCGGCGACCACAGTGAGGTCGGGCGCGTCCCGTTACAAGAACAAATCAGAATACAACCATCTCCAAACAATATCTTGACTAGATCTGAACATTCCTTTGGCAACGGGGCGCTCCCGACCTGACTTCGGCTACGCGCAAGAGTGACCCTGGGTAAGAGTGGCCCTTGGTGCGCGGCTTCTGGGGGGCGCGAGGAGGCCAAACCCGAGCGCGCAGGCCGCTGCTATCGCATCGCGCTCCACGATGGGGGGGGCCCCGATGAGCCCACGCCAAAGGTCACTCCAGCGAAGGGTCACTCTTACGCGTAGCCGATAACTGTAGTCGCCGTTAGGTCGGGCAGGTCCTCCTACAGGCGGGTTTTTGACGAAAAATCAAAACAGCACGCTCCAAAATAGCCAAAACAAATCATCATCAAACCTTCTCCAAACCATACCTCGGCTAGATTTGAAGATTCCTTGTCTATTTTGGAGTATGTTGGGGTATTTTTGAGGTTTCGGCAAAAATCCGCCTGTAGAAGGACCTGCCCGACCAACGGACTATTTTCGAGCATTTTTTCGCTATTTCTGTTCCTCCAAAATCCCTCTGTAGGGGGACATGCCCGACCTCAGACTACAGTCGCAGGAGAGAAACGCCATGCATAGGAACATTTGGCGCGCTTCGCGCGGATTTCTTGGATCCGCGCTGGGCCCCCCTCGGCGGCACCTCCGGCGCCGCCCCTGGCGCACCCCCCGCGCCAGGGAGGGGGGCCCGGCGCGGTTCCAAGAATCCTGCGCGGACTTCCAAAAGTGTATGTTTATGTTGTTTATTGCCCGCCCCTATACTTAAGTTGGGCACATCCCTTTACAGGAGGAATATTTCAAAATGGTAAGGAATAGTCTGGTGACAATTTGTTGTTGCTATTTTAGCGCGTTCTCGAGTATTTTCATTTCTCCTCCCAAATCCACCTGTAGGAGGACATGCCCGACCTAACTCTACTCAAAGGGTGTCGTTCTGGTTTGCGATCTGCGTCGTCGGGTCTTGTCGTCCGGGGCTGAGGCGAGGATGTAAGTCCGTTCCGGGGCGTGCCAGAGCGCTCTCGGAGCGTGCTGGAGAGCTCTGCGGAGGCCGTGGCGCCCGAGACATCTTCCAGAGCTGCCGCATCTCCAATATTCTCGTCTTATCCTCGCCCGATCGCATCCTCGTCTCATGTTGCTCTTATCGCACTTCCGGACCACATCCCAGTAATAGTTTCGACCGCCAGGGAAAGTGTCGAAGCAGTGTCGAAACAGTGTCGGACGAGTGTTTCCCAGGGCCCGACACGTGGAAACCCTCGATTTTCGGTATTAGTGCTCGAAATAAAGTAGGTTGGAACATCCTAATCCTCGTCTTGGTTTCGTCTGATCTTGGCGGGCGCCACGTTTCGGGTATCGGAGGTTGGGGGGTGAGATCGAAGTGGAACGGAGAGCCCCCCTACCAGGAAATCGATTTCGGTTTCGTGTTCGTGCCGTGCGTGCGGGCGAGGCGAAGCTGCGTTGGCGGGGGAGAGGAAATTCTCCTGTGGCTGCGACGCGGCTGGACCAAAAGGTTCTCCGCCCGGCAACCGGTGGCGCGCGGTGTCCCGCCTGTGTCCCGCTGGTGTCCCGCCGGTGTTCCGTCACGCCGTCGTGGCTGGGCCGCGGCCGGACCAAAAGGTTCTCCGCCCGGCAACCGGTGGCGCGCGGTGTCCCGCCGGTGTCCCGATTGTGTCCTGCTGGTGTCCCGCCAGTGTCCCGTCGGTGTCCCGTTGAGTGAGATCGATAGTTAGTGAGAACGATAGTGAGATCGACAGGTGTTCCGTGGTGTCCCGTGATGTCCCATGGTGTCCCGTTGAATGAGATCGATAGTGATATCGATAGTGATATCGATAGTGGGATCGATGTGGTGTCCCGAGGTGTCCCGTGGTGTCCTATGGTGTCCCGTTGAGTGAGATCGATAGTGAGATCGATAGTAAGACCGATAGTGAGATGGAGAGGTACCCTGCGGTGTCCCGTGGTGTCCCTTGGTGTCAAGTTGAGTGAGATCGATCGTGAGATCGATTGAGTCGGATGTTGGTTCCCCCCTCTCCACCCCCACAACCTCCTTATCACCCGAAGGGTGGTTAGGTAGTTAGGACCCCCGCTAAGGGGAGCCGGTTATTAATTGGGCCCCGAAGCCCCAAACATACATACGCTGGAATCGCTAAGTCAGGTCTGCCGTAGCTGGTGTTTTTCGAGTGGCGGCAGTTCCAGATATTGGAGTGGGGCGAGGGGGGCGTCCCCCGGTAAGCATCACTAAACCAGGTCCCACTAAACCCAGTCCTGCCAACGCCCGAACGTTATTCGACTGCACGTAGGAGTGACCCTCTGCCGAAGTGGCCGTTGGTGCGGGCCCACTGGTGCCCCCGGGCGCTGACTGCGAGTCTACGGCCAGCGCGCGTGGGCTTAATTAGACCTCTCGCTCCCCCCAGAAGCCGCGCACCAAAGGCCACTATCTTTAAGTCGGGCGCGTCCCTCTACAGCGGGAATATTCCGAAATAGTTCAAAAAATAGCCTGGGAACGAATTCATTAGTATTTTCTCAACTATTGTGGCATATTTTCGGAATATTATACATTTTTCGTCCAACCTCCGCCTGATCCCCCTGTAGGGGGACATGCCCGACCAAACACTACTTGGGGAAACAAGCCATGCCATAAATATTAAAACTCGCTCGGAGGTTCGCGCGGATTTCTCGGATCGGCGCCAGCCCCGCCTGGCGGCGGCCGCACCCCCCGAGAGTGCGCAACAACAACCACACCCTCTTGCAGACCGCACCCTCTTCGAACTCCCTCGCGCCGTGGGCAAAACAAACGCGACGGGAGGAGGGGGAAGAGGAGGAGGATGAGGAGGAGGAGGAGGAGGAGAAGGAGGAGGTGGAAGAGGAGGAGGAGGAGGAGGGTGAGGAGGAGGAGGAAGAGGAGGAGGAGGAGGAGGAAAAGGAGAAGGAAAAGGAGGAGGAAAAGGAGGAGGAGGAGGAGGAGCAGGAAAAGCAGGAGGAAAAGGAGGAAGACGAGGCGGAGGAAGAGGAGGAGGAGGAGGAGGAGGAGGAGGAGGAGGCAGGAGGAGGCAGGAGGAGGCAGGAGGAGGAGGAGGAGGTGTGTGCGCCTGCTTTGGAGTGTGTTCGGCCCCATAAAGGGGCCCCCGCCTGGCCCCCCACAGGACCATCGGCAATCGACGCAGGAGGGCACGCTGGTGCCCCCAGGAAGGGATCCAGTCCTCGGAGGGTCCGCGGTATGGAAGAGTCGCCTGGCGTTAAGTCGGGCCTGTCCCTCTACAGGGGGAATTTCCCAAAACAGGTTAAAGCATACTATGGGGACGATATGTTTTAACCATGTTTGAGCATGTGTGGGGTATGCTTGAGAATATTTGTCATTGTCGTCCCAAATCCGCCTGTAGGGGGACATGCCCGAGCTAAGCCTGGCCCCTGGCCCATCAAAGAACGTCACGGGGTGGAACGCCAGTCCCGAGGAAGGGTTCCAGACCTTTGCGGAAAGAGTCGCGACGTCGGATGCCCGGGCTGTGATGGGCTGGGCGTCTCAGGAGCCCCCTTCCACCTTCTGAGGAGTCATTTCTCTCTCTCTCTCTCTCTTTCTGTCTCGTTTTCTTTCTTCTTCTTTTTTTTCTCTCTCTCTCTCTCTCACACTTTCTGTGTTTGTTTTCTCTTTGTCTCTCCCCATCTCTCTCTCTCTCTCTCCCTGTCTCTCTCCCTCTCTCTCTCTCTGTCTCTCTCGTGCTTTCAGAAGAAGGGACCACCAGCACAAACATGAGCTTTAGGCGCTGATTTGTTGGATGGGCGCCAGGCGTCTTCGAGGGCCTGGGGGCGCCTCAAGAGCCCAGCCGAGACAACGGCGGCCCTCCTTAGCTTGTTTTGCCGGTGTAGGGTTCTCGTTGCCGAGGCTGGAGTCGCCTCGAAAAACATATCAGGATTGACCCCGGGAGGGGTCTCTGGATTGATTCTTGGCGGACTTCGGCTGGGCGAGACTACTGCCGTCATCTCAATCCGCGGTCCCTTCCACAGAAGCCCCTCCGCCTATAGAGACTGGTATTTTCAGGGTCCAGCGATAGTCCAGGTTATCGGGCTTGCCCCCCCCCCTCCTCCCCCCCTTGGCGGTGGTGCAGGTCTGGGAATGGGGGGGGCGCGGGCACGTGCAGGGCTGCCCACAGCGCGACGCTTAGGTTGTCGGCCGGCCCCCTCCCCCTCCCCCCCCCGGACATCACCACCCACCAAACCACCCCAACCCAACCCGAAGCCCTCAATTTGCCTTCCATTTCCAGTGGGGGGGGGGTCCGGGAACGTTGAAAAAACACATGGTATCCGTACCCCCCCCAACCCGAAATTCGGGTCAAATTCGGGTCTTCGGGTTGGGTTGGGGTGGTCTGGTAGGTAGTCAGGACAGTCCGGGCCATCGCCGATCCACACAGAAAAACGGCCTCCGATGAGCAGATGTTCTCTCGGAGGCCCGCGCGACTCTGCTTGGGGCCAAGCGCTGGACCCCCTGCCTGCATAGTGGCGCCTCCGGCGCCGGCCCCGGCGCGCCCCGCCCGTCCGGGAGGGGATCTGAGCTCAGGTCGGGCGCGTCCCCCTCTACAGGCAGATTTTGGACGAATGGTATAAGATTGCGGGCGATGTTTCTCCCCCAATCCCCGAGTTTCGCCCGAAAAGTCTGGCCGCTCAGAAGAATGGGAAAACCCTGGGATACACCCCAAGGGGGCTATTCGGACGCACCCCTATCGAGAATGGACACCCCCCCATCGTATATCCCAGGGTTAGGCCCCAAATTTCTGGTCCATTCGGAAACCCCACGAAGCCTGGGATAGGGGTCGACATATCCCCTGTTATAGGATAGTCAAAACATATCCCCAAAATGTTCAAACATGCTAGTCCCCAAACTTTGTTGAAAGATATGTTTGATTATCCCTCCTGCGAAGGGACAGGCCCGACTCAAATCTAAGGGCCGATCGCAGATGCCCGCGCGGACCTCGGATGACTTCCCTGCCCACGGAGAGTTCTGTTTGTCTTTGCTCTCAGAGAGGCATGGCTCATTTCGATCCCTCCGCTTCGATTCGATGTCGATGGAATCCGATTCCGATTCGCTTCGACCTCCAGCTCAAAAAAATGTCAACAAATTGTATGGTGGCGATGTTTTTAACATTTGTATTTTTCATGTTTTTTGTCAATTATTATATTTTATTGATCGTCCAGAGTCCGCCTGTAGGGGGACAGGTCCGACCTAAAGCTGACGCCCCCTGAGACGAGGCACGAGATCCACCTGCACTGCCCGGAGGGCGCCACGCCGAAGGACGGGCCCTCCGCGGGCGTCACTATGTCCACCGCGCTGCTGTCGCTGGCGCTTGGCCGCCCCGCGCGTGCCGACCTGGCCATGACCGGCGAGGTGTCCTTGAACGGCAAGGTCGGGACACGAGACACGGGGGGGGGGTCCCAGAGTCTCCAGGCTTCCTGCAGATGGGGTCGGAGCGGGTGGGGTCGGAGGATCGCGCCGCATGGCCGATGCACCGCCGATGCGGCTCGATGTGCAGACCGATTTGCGTCGCGTCGACGTCGCCGATGCATCGCCAACGTCGACGATGCATCGCGGGTGCATCGCCGATGCATTGCCGATGCATCGACGATCTATCGCCGATGTATCGGCGACTCGGCGCGATCCTCCGACCCCATCTATGCGGGAGGATTTTTGACAGGTGCGGTGTGTGCGGGTGGGAAAAAATCACGACGGACGTTTTGTTTGCAGCTTTCGGCCTTTGGGGGCCCTCGCTGGGACTCGGGGCCGCTAACAGAACTGGATCGGGATGAACAGCAGGCCCTATGGGAAGGGTCAGGACTTGTGAGGTTCACGACGCCAGGGGTCTGGGGGGGCACGGTTCACCACCCGAGCTAGGGTTTCTCACGGTCCGATGCGGTGCGATCCGGTCTCCAGGCTTCGATCCCGACCTTGATCTTGGGCCTGTCCTCTACAGAAGGAATGTTCAAAAATAGTAAAAAAATACTCACTGCGTGGAGCTCCCCATATGTGCATACCATGTTTTATGTCATGCGATAGTGAGCGTCTGTTCATGCGCGATTGATTATAATAGCGCGTCCACATGGGCGACAGGGCCAACAAAGACGAGTGAGTCCTAATGCGAGTAAGTGAGTATGCGTCAGAGTGAGCTTTGAGTATGATTGAATATGAGACTCTCATTCATTCCCCCTCCTCAGCTGCCAGGCCGCGAACGGGCCCGTGTCCTACCCCCTGGCGGCTCCCCTTTGGGGTGCTGAAACCAGCGCCACGCCTGAGACATCCTCACAATCTGCTCTGACAGCCAAGGATGTTGGGCATGAAAACGAGCAAACTGCCTGAGACATCCCCACAAACTGCCGCGAACGGGCCCGTGAAAGCACCCCTGGCGGCTCCCCTCAGGGGTGCTGAAAGCAGCGCCCCGCCTGAGACATCCTCACAATCTGCTCTGAAATCGACGAGCCGAAATCCTTCACATCAGTAATTTTGGGTCTCGGAGCCCACAGGGCGGTTTTTCATGTTTTCCATTCGACGTTCCATGAAGCCCGATGTCATTCCGAGGCCGCGTGTCGAACGTTTTCGATGGCGCGTCGCGTTATGCGATGTCACGTGCGTTGGGGTCGTCAAAGGCTTGCGTGCTTGTTGCGGATCGGTTGATGTGGGCTGGGGTTTCTCAGGATTGTACATTTGCTTTGCGCTGGGGCGGTTTCGACCCCCATCCCTGGCTGATCCACCCCGCGGGTAACGTCGCAGGAAGAGTTCGATCATTTCGTTCGTAGTGCCAGCGATGCTGTCGCGGACATTGACCGCGCCACGGGGGGGGGTCGTCCAGAAATTTCCTACCATATTGCAGTGTTGGTTCTTCGTTTTGAAGAGACACCGCCCCGCGTCATTCCTTCCGGCCCCCTCCCTCGTCCTCCCTCTTCGCGTATCTGCCCCTGCTCTCCGCGTGTCTCCGTCGTCACCGTCCATCGTCATCGTCGCCATCACCATCATCATCAGCATCATCAGCTTTCTCGCCGTCTCCATCATCAATACCACCACCATCCTCATCAACATCATCAAAACACCCCCTTGTTCCCCCGCGTCTCTGCTTCGCCACATCCCCCGCAAGTCTCGTGGCCTTGTGAGGTGCTCCACCGAAGGCCCCATCGGCAGGGTCCTTAGTGCGCCGCCCAGCCCATGTCGGCACGCCCCTCAGACGCTTCGTGTCCCCATGAGGAGCTCATCGGAGGTCCCGGCGGCAAGGTCCACATGCCGTCGCCCAGGCCACATTGATGACACCCTCAAACATTTCGTGCCCCTATAGGCAGCTCCACCAAAAAAAGGTCCCAGCGGCAGGTTTCCCAGGCCGCCGCCCAGCATATTTCGGCATACGTTTCACACGCTTCGTGGCCCCACGGGGAGCTACACCGACGGCCCCACAGGCAGGGCCCACAGGCCGCCGCCCAGCCCATTCCGTCATACGCTCACAAGCTTCGTGGCCCCATTGGGGAGCACCCCCGATGGCCCAAGCGACAGGGTCCACATGCCGTCGCCCAGCCCATGTCGTCCACGAGTGGCGCCCAGCACGGCTCCAAGAGCGCCCCAAGAGGCGCCGAGTAAGTTGCACCCTCATGCAAATAGTTTTTGTCACTTGTGGGGGTCCTCTTGGGGCCCTCTTGGAGCATTCTTGGGGCCCTCTGGGAGCGTTCTTGGGGCCTTCCCGGGGCCCCAGTGGGCCCTCGGAGGGCCCCAAGAACGTTCCCCGAGGGCCCCAAGAGGGACCCCCCAAAGTGGTACAAAGAATTCGCGCGAACGTGCTATCTGTTGTAGGCCTTTCGGGGCCCTCCGGGAGCTCTCTTGGGGCCCCCATTGGTGGCGCCTTGGGGCCTTGGGATGGCTTCAAGAGGCTTCGGGATTGCCCCAGACCGCCACAAGGCAGCTCCGAGACGGCCGTCGAGCACCACGGGTGAAAGCAAGTGAGGCTAGGGAACAGGGCCTCTGGTAAGCCGCCACTGCGCCCCCTGGACTACCCAGACAGCGAGGGGACCTGAAACGCCCTGGGGCTCCAGGGGCCCCAGATTAGTGAAGTGAAGGTTTTTGCCATGCAAGCACCCCGAAATTCTTCACTTCACTAAACCGGACCCAGGACGAACTCGCTACGCTCCAGTCCCGCGGGAGATCCGAGACTCCCGCCGCCGCCCGGGGACGTTGCTGCATTGCGGTGCTCTGGTCACTGTTAATGGCTTCCGCGGGCTGCAGCGGCTCACTTCCATGACTACCCCGACTCACGAATCCAGTGGTTGGTCTGGCTCTATGGGTTGGTTTCGTTGTGTCGGTTGATTTCATGCTTGGTTGGCGGTCGGTGGATTTCGCGTTGTTCATTGGTGTCGTGAAGTGATTTGTCGTTTGGTTGGTCAGTGCCGTTTTGTTGATTCGTGCCGTTTTGTTGGTTGGTGTCGTTTCGTTGGTTGGTGTCGTTTTGTTGCTTGGTGTCGTTTTGTTGCTTGGTGTCCTTTTGTTGGCCGGTGTCGATTTGTTGGTTTGTTGGTTGGTGTCGGTTTGTTGGTTGGTGTCGTTTTGTTGCTTGGCGTCGTCCTGGCGGCGTGGCCGATAATCGGCGGCCTGCAATGGCGCCAGGATTTGTTTCGGGCCAGCCTTGATCGCCCTCATCATTCTCATATTCGTCAGCGTCAGCACTCGTCGCCCCCATCCGCGCACACATGCGGCCCTGGTACGGCTCTCACGCGGCCCTGCGAAGGCCTTCACTGTGCTCCCCAAAGCTTTCTGAGGGGCCTCCCAGAGGCCCCAAGAGGGCACTGGAAATTGTCGCTTCCAACTCCGCCAGGCGGAGGTCAACAAGGGTCTCACTGGTGCACTTCCAGGAATCGTCGTTCGATCCTCTTGGGGCCCTCCTGGGGCCTTCTGGAGCCGTCTTGGAAGCTCCGAGCGGCTCCATGAAGGCGCCGGGCGATATCGCTTCCAATTCCGCCAGGTGGAGTTAGACCAGGGGCTCACTGAGGCCCCTTTTTGCGCCCTCCTCTGCCTTTGAAAAAGCCCCGATGGGGTTCTTCAGTGCCGTCTTAGGGCCCCTAAGAGGCCTCCAGTAGGGTATTGAAGTTATCGCTTCCAACTCCGCCACGCGGAGTTGAACCCAGGGCGGCTCTCTATGGCCCTTTCGGGGCCTTCTTAGAGCTTTTCTGAGGCCCTAAGTGGGCCCTGGGAGGTGTCATTTTCACGGGCGTTGAAAGTGACACCGCGGAGGGCCCTCTTGGGCCCTTCTTGGGGCCTCTCTTGGGTCCCTCTGGGAGCCCTCTTGGTGCCGCCCTGGGGCCTTCTCGGGGCCTTCTTGGAGCCTTTTCTGGTGCTCTTTAAGTGGGCCCTGGGAGGTGTCACTTTCACGGGCGCTGAAAGTGACACATCGAAGGGCCCGCTTTCCCTCGTAGCGCTGCCCGTGGCCTGGGCATTGTGCAGCGCATCCCTCGTCGAACGTATTTTGTCGGACGCGTGGTCGAATTCCGCCAGTTCGGTCGAGATGGTGGTCAAGCGGTTCGGTTGCAATGTAGCCATGCGGATCTGAGCTTACCATTTCTTGAATTTGGCGGGGATCGCAGGAGCGTTTGTGTTGTGATCAACTGTGCTCGATATATCCAGCGGCAGCGTTTCATCCCAATATATTATTTTGCAAAAAAAAAGTCAGCAGGGGCCAAATTGCTGATGTGAAGCAACATAGGTCTCGTATGAAAGCAAAGGATGTTGGGCATGAAAATGAGCAAACTGCCTGAGGCATCCCCACAAACTGCCGCGAACGGGCCCGTGAAAACACCCTTGGCGGCTCCCCTTATGGGTGCTGAAACCAGCGCCCCGCCTGAGACATCCTCACCTTGTGATATGAAAACCAAGGATGTTGGGCATGACGACGAGCAAACCGCCTGAGACATCCCCGCAAACTGGCCGCGAACGGGCCCGTGAAAACACCCCTGGCGGCTCCCCTTCTGGGTGCTGGAACCAGCGCCCCGCCTGAGACATCCTCACAATTTGATCTGACAGCCAAGGATGTTGGGCATAAAAACGAGCAAGCCGCCTGAGGCATCCCGACAAACTGGCCGCGAACGGGCCCATGAAAACACGCCTGGCGGCTCCCCTTGATGAAACCAGCGCCCCGCCTGAGACATCTTCACAATCTGCTTTGAAGGGGTGCTGAAACCAGCGCCCCGCCTGCGACATCCTCACAATCTGCTCTGAAAGCAAAGGATGTTGGGCATGAAAACGAGCAAACCGCATGCGACGTCCCCACAAACTGGACGCGAACGGGCCCGTGAAAACAGTCCTGGCGGCTCCCATTAGGGGTGCTGGAACCAGCGCCCCGCCTCAGACATCCTCACA